TATATATATATATTTATAATGTTAAAAGGAATGATCGGAGGCTTATATACGAGTCATGTTCATCCCTAATGCGCCTAACAATATATTGTTAAAAAGAATGGCCTGAGACAATTAAACGAGCCCTGTCCATCCCTAATGCGCCTAACAATTCGAGTACCACACCCTACACTCGGGGGGATTTGATCCCCAAACCAGAGTGGTCTTTCCACTGGCAAGCAGATGCTCGACCAACTCATCTGAGGATACGGTGCATATATGTATGTATGTATGTATGTATGTATGTATGTATGTATGTATGTATGTATGTATGTATGTATGTATGTATGTATGTATGTATGTATGTATGTATGTATGTATGTATGTATGTATGTATGTATGTATGTAGGTATGTATGTATGTAGGTATGTATGTATGTATGTATGTATGTAGGTATGTATGTATGTAGGTATGTATGTATGTATGTATGTATGTAGGTATGTATGTATGTAGGTATGTATGTATGTATGTATGTATGTAGGTATGTAGGTATGTACGTACGTACGTACGTACGTATGTAGGTATGTACGTATGTACGTACGTACGTATGTAGGTATGTACGTATGTAGGTAGGTACGTACGTATGTACGTACGTACGTATGTACGTATGTACGTATGTATGTATGTATGTATGTATGTATCGGGTTCAATGCAGATGTGAGATATGAAGGGAGACAACTCAACAAACCGGCTAGACACTTCAACAAAATTAATTCGACCGATAAACTTAATCATAGAGTTATGATTATAGCTTGCCCACGATGACCGACGCACAAATACTCTGCCAAATTGAGATAACCTGATAACTTGGCAAGAAAAATCAACTCACAGCATGGCCTAATTTGTTGAACTCTCCATGAAATCAAGTTGTGTATAAAGATCAACACTCCTTTTAGCTAAGTTGATTGAAAAATGCATTACTTGTAAGTTGAACTTGAGGAAAGATTTTTCATAAGCAATTATTATCTATGGAGAGGATCTAGGAAAATATAAAGTATAACTCCAAAACTAGAAAAAAAAAAAGTGAGATAGATCAAGAATATCTTTGGATTGAAGTGTAATGAATACTTGATTTGTAACGCTTGAGCCAAGCCCACTATAAATGTGGGATGATTATTTTAATGCAAGAGAAGGATTCTAAGATACTAAAAAAGATAATTTTTTTCTTTTTCCTTCTCTATTCTCTTAGGTGAATACAATATTTATTTTAGCTCTATTTTATGTGGTATGGATTGACATCCAAATAAAGATCCAACACTCTAAAAGAAGCAGTGAGTGTGGAGACATGTCATTAATAAGATTTGTAGTCACATAATGAGGAAAGCAAATTACAGAGAAATTACTAGACATATAGACTAAAATAGAAAACTTGCAACATAACCAAATAAATGAGCTGAAAAAATAATTGATGACAGTAATAAAAAGGAGGCTGCAAGAAGTGCCAAAAACAATCCCAAGGGAGCAAACACTTCCTTCTCCTTAATTAGAAACACCACCAAGCAGAGCACTTTTTGTTTGGCGGGAGAAGGACTTCATTCTTACTCTAGCGAATAAGAACGATATATATACCATCTCGACTGTGCTAGTTTAGTCCCCTTGGAGTGTGAAAGTGAAAAAGGCAAAGAAAATCCCAAAATAATATTAATGGGAGAATCCTACCTCCAAAAATATCACTAAAGAGGATATCCATATGAGATTTAATATTCCATATATGGAATCTTTTAAGAGCAAAATTGACCCATTTGGCCACATTGTCTCATTCGAATCAATAACTTGCTTACTTGTAACATATGATACTTTGAAGCATTTTTATTTTTCATGACTCTATAGGAATCATTACTCAAGGGTTTCAACAATCTATCACTAGAAGTGATCAGTTCTTTAGTAGATTTCAACCACATGTTTTTTACATAGTTCACCAACATGTTTAATTCACATAAGAGTTTGTAAGTTCAATAGTGAATTCACTAAGAGCTAGTTAGTCACTTATTTATAAAGAGAGATATTGGTGTTCAGAGTTTTTAAACATGTAATAGCACAAGCAACACTCACCCATAGGTTGAATGAAGTCTTTTTCTGTTATGCCCTTGGTCCATAAGGAGTAAAAATGTTAGCTAAATTGATAACAAGCTAAGAACTACATTTCTACTAAAGGGTATAAAACTCCTCCCAACATCTCCAATGGAAAGCTCCAGGATCCACATTAATTAAAAATGAGTATTTAGCATGTTGATAGAGGATAAAGAAGTCGCTCTGTGGGGCTTCTAACAAGTCTAAAATTTCAAATTGCTAGCCCTGAACATTTTAGAAAACAACATGTTTCTAAAAGATTTAAAGAGCACAATCATTATGAGGTGTGTTGATCATCATGTGAAGAGGAGGTATATGCCACTTATCCACTAGTTACCTACATAGACTCTATTATGAGTGTCAATTATTGACATAATTGAGGCCATGTTGAATAAGAAGTATTTCTTAAAATTGATACTGATGAATCCTGAGTGTGATTTGCACAATCTACAAAAATATTCCATGTGCCATCATGACCATAATCATGATACCGAGGAATCCAGAAATCCACATAACTTGATTTAATAATTGTTCGAGGCTAGGAACTAAGGGAGTTAATTGCACCACAAATTACTAAGAAATAAATAAATGCACATACCAAGGAACCCAGAATAAACTGGTTCAAGCTCAGTTGATCCACACAGTGAAGATTGAACTAGCCTTTCTTAGGAGGAATGGACTTGATAAACTTTGTTAATGAAACCTCGACTAAATTTGCTCGAGTGAAGTTTGCTTGATGAGCTCATCCCAATGTCAATTAGTTTGTCCATCGACTATTACCATTATTGATAAATAGGTTATCAAAATGGCTCATTGTTCGTGAACAA